AATAATATGTGCAAAATAAATGTTTATTGAGTAAATGCAGGAAGAAAGGAGACAAAGAGAAAAAAACAACTCATCTTCTTAAAGGAAGATAGTAATATCACAAACCCCAATGAGGAAAATAAGCATATTTCTTCATCAGGAAGAAAAAAAATAGTGTAAATATTTCTATGTCTCATACTGTCTCTGTCCCTTCCACAGGTCAGACTAATGAGGACCCTGGAGCTTACTAATATCTCTGGGTTTGTGAGTGAGTTCATTCTCCTGGGCTTTCCCTGTCACAGAGACATCCAGAACCTCCTCTTTGTGCTCTTCTCCTTCGTTTACGTTCTGACCCTCCTGGGAAACACATCCATCATCTGTGCTGTGTGGTCAAGCAGGAAACTCCACACCCCCATGTACATCCTCCTAGCTAACTTCTCCTTCCTGGAGATCTGCTATGTCAGTTCTGATGTGCCCAAAATGTTAGCTAATATCATCTCCCAGACCAAGAGCATCTCCTATGCTGGTTGCTTGCTCCAGTTTTACTTCTTCTTCTCCATGTGTGCCGCCGAGTGCTTATTTCTGTCAGTGATGTCTTTTGATCGATTTCTTGCCATTTGTAGACCTTTGCACTATCCTGCTATCATGACCTATCACCTGTGTGCTAGGTTAGTGGTCTTCTGCTGGGCAGGTGGCTTTCTCTGGTTATTGACTCCCTTGACTCTAATATCTCAGGTGCCCTTCTGTGGTCCAAACATCATTGACCATTTTCTCTGTGATCTGGCACCTTTGCTGGCATTGTCTTGTGCTCCAGTATCTGGAATCACTCTCATCTGCGGTATCATTAGCTCCCTCATCATCTTTCTCACCTTCCTGTACATCCTTGGCACTTACTTCTGTGTACTAAGTGTGGTGCTACAGGTGCCTTCTGGCTCAGGAAGGCATAAAGCTTTCTCTACTTGTGCATCCCACCTTGCTGTGGTGTCTCTGTTCTATGGCTCGGTCATGGTGATGTACATTAGCCCAGGTTCTGGAGACTACCCTGGTATGCAGAAATTTGTGACTTTGTTCTATGCATTGGCAACCCCACTCTTCAACCCCTTTATCTACAACTTCCAAAACAAAGATATGAAGGATGCACTAAAGAAAATTCTGAGTGTGTTGTGAAAAATCTCTAAAGGCTTCAAAAGTCAAATTTAATAATGCATTGTTAATGTTTAGGAGGATGGAAGATCATGAGACAAATGGTATTGTGGCTTTTTTCTCTTCATTTTATTTTCATATATTAGAAAGATAATTTTAAAAAATTCATTTGACTTATGATTTGTCTTAGAAAGCTATTACTCTCTTGTTCCAGATGTAACTGTACCTTAGATAGACTTCTTTATTTTGAAATCCAACTTAAGATTTTCATGTATTTCTCTATAATTGAGTTTCTAGTTTCTCTTTTGGTTTTTATTACATACTGCTTGATGTATTTCAATAGTCTCAAATTCTGCTCTCCTCAAAGCCAGTTGTCCTTTTCTAGAACATAACAAATGTTGAATGTATTGCAAACCCACAAATGGTTAACCAACAACCCTTCAGGTAACCAAATTTAAAAAATAAAACATCCTTCAATATCAGGGACAAATTTAAGCACTACTTTTGTATATTCCATAATTCCAAGTATACTTTTGGGAACCAACAAGTGTCCTCAGTGAGGTTACATTGGCTTGATTGACTCTCCACATTTTGCCAATGCTGTCACTTTAGGAAGTCGGTCCAAATCTTTCATATTCAAACACACGAAGTTTAGTTAATACTTACTGTAAACCAAAGAACTATAGACTTTGCGAGATCACTACTATCAGGCCCAAGGTGAACTTATTTTCAAATAGTTCTCTGTAAAATTCTGAATATAAGTCCCTCAGAGGTAATTTCTACTCTATAATTTATTTTCTAGAGTAGTAATTTAATTACAGTATTACACTTCATGAGGAAACCTCTGGCCAAAACTTTCTTCTGGGGTAACTCCAGCACTAACTTTATTTCTAAACCTTAGTCAAACATCTGCAACCTTCTGCTGGATATTTTTACATGAAGAGTCACTTCAAATTCATATATTTAATCCTAAATTTGTTAATCTCCTTTTAAATTAGCTCTAGCCATCCTTATTTTCCAATGGCTCCACTCATTTATAACCTGAACTTAAAATCTTAACGTTTACAATACCTCATTTTCTCATATCCAATACTAATGTTATTAAGTTCCGTAGCATCTCCCTTGTAATCTTTTGTCATCTTTATTCATCATTTTTGTCCAGGTATCAGCACTCCATTACACCTGTGAAGGAATAATAATTTCATAAGTGGCCTTCCTGTCTCAGATAGCTCCCGTGTCAAATCATCTTTTTAAACCTCCTTTCCATCAGTCCCTACACTTATTTCCACTCCACTTACACAGATTTTTTTTTTTTTTGGTGGGGGGAATCCCAAAATCTTTTTCTTTCTTTTTCTTTTTTTGGTGTGGATATTTATCATTATAAATTTGTTCAAACCTGTAGAATGAATATACAGCACCAAGAGTGAACCCTAAAGTAAACTATGGACTCTAGGTGATGATAATGTGTCAATGTGGTTCATCAGTTGTAACAAATGTACTATTCTGGTAGGGATGTTGATAATGAGGGAGGCTACACATGTGTGGGGTTAGGTGGCATATGGGGAATCATCATAAACCTAAAATAACTGCTCTAAAAATTAAAGTCTAAAACAACTAAACATATTTATATATAATATAAATAGAATATGTTTATATATATTTACATAAATATAATATGTTTATATATTTATATAAATATAAATATAATATATATATTTTCTTCACATAACCAGAAATCTGCAAGTGGCCTATCTATAGCCACTGCTCTGTTCTGGATCTGTGACATTTAGCTTGTAGATCCTTATCCTCATGTTTATTACCTTGTGGTTGCAAGATAGCTGCTAAATGTCCAGCTATTTCTCTGTTCCAGAGTGGAAGAGCATGAAGAATTAGTTCATATTTCGGGAAAGCAAAAGCCTTCCCTAAAACCCTCAATTCATGTCTCATTAGCCAGAACTATGATATACATGACCAAGCTAGAGACAAGCTGAAGAAGCCAGAGTTTTCAGCTGGACTTATTGCTACTATGAACAAAATCAGGATTCTTTTACTAAGGAAAAATGGGATACACTAGCGTGGGCAATAGCAGTTCCTACCATAGAGGGATCTGGAGAGTTTCTCTAATTACCTTAGATATAAAGAAACTGAAACAATTGATAACATTGACCTTTGACAAGTACGAAAAAGTTGAAGAAGAAAAGCATACAAACTTCCAAGAAGCTATCACTTTATAAATCTGACTAGAGGCCAATAGGTCTGAGAATTGTTTGTTGACTAACCACTTGAAATCACTTTTTGATTGTGATTTTTTTAAAAATTCAATTTATTGAGGTGACATTGGTTAATAAAATTATATAGGTTTTCAAGTGTACGATTCAATAATACATCATCTGTATATTGCACTGTGAGTTCACCACCCAAAGTCAAATCTCCTTTTGTTACCTTATATTTGACCCCCTTTACCCTTATCTACCTCCCTCCTCCCCTTTTTCCCTCTGGTAAACACTAAACTGTTGTCTGTGTCTATGATTTTTTATTTGTTTGTATAATGATGGTCCTATAAACAACTGGTATAACTAAATTTGAATAGTAATAAGCTGTTTTAATGTTGATCGGAATAATATTGAGCAAATAGCGTTTCAGTATAAAAGGGAACCTATGAGTTCAATGGTGAGGAAAACAATTTGGAAGAGAAATTGCTAAAGCGAAAAAGCTATTTGAGCCCTAGTTTTCTGTGAATACTGTCTTCAGAACCATGTCTGTAACTAATTTAACCACCTTCCCCCAAGGAATATATAATTCCTTTCAGTCTGATGATTAAAAAGGAGTCAGTTGAATTACAGAGACCATAAATATTGTCATCCTACCAAGAGGAAATACTATCACCCAGCCAGTCATTCATCTTGCCGCTTTATGAGATGTGTCCTTAGAAATGGAATGGAATAAAACAGAAGAGAACAGTACAACACATAAGAGAAGAGAAGAGAAAGGAAGGGAAGGGAAGGGAAGGGAAGGGAAGGGAAGGGAAGGGAAGACAATAGTAATGTATCATTTGTGATAAGGGTGGTATTGTTCTAAGACACTTCTGTTTCAGTTATATATGTATGTGTGTACTGGGCATAATGTAAAATGAATTTCTGTGGGTTGTGGTCAAAAAAGTTTAAAAAGCCATTGTCTTAGCAGTTTCAGAATGCCTAAGCATAGGTTATTCAAAAGAAAATCCAGCCTTTTAAAATAGCTCAAGAACTCAAAACAAGCCAAAGACATTGATGTCAAATGTGGAGTAATAGAACCTCCAAATGTGTGG